ATATATATATATATATATATATAGACATATATATTATTTCTTTTATTAATAATGTACTTGATTATTGTTCTTAATATATTTATTTAAGGTAATATAAAAAGGACTATTAATTAAACTAAGAAATAAATGTACGAAAATCAAATTTATTTGGATAAACTTATTTATAAGTACTTTTAGAAGAAAGTGTTTTTATTTTTTAAAAAAATCTTCATATACGTAAATAGCTTATGTAAGTTAAAAAAACACTGATCTACATATTATAAAATAAGATATTTGTACAGATTAATTTATATATTTTTTGATAAACAAATTAGTTTTAATTTATGATTTCTTTTCTTTTCTTCTTCTAAAGATGATAAAGAAATTTATTATTTTTAAGTCTATTCTTAATTAAGATTCTATTTGTTAATACATAGTAACCTGAATATCTTTTGCTGGTTCAGGGCAATGTGATTTAATAATCTCCTTCGATACAAACCCAATGCCACCATTCCATTGTTGAGGAGGCTGCAAGTAATTAATAATGAAAATTTCAAACATTTAAATCCACAGAGACATTCATGACCATTTCATTATTCAACTTTATTGTGATAAAATGATAGTAAATTTTATTTCTTATTGCTGAAAAGATTTGTTGAAATGAAATTGATCTTCTTTTTTTTTTAAATGATTGAGATATTTAAAGTATGAAAAGTTTGAAATTATATGAGAACAAACCTTATTAAGAACATGATATACTTCAAATCTTTGAGGAAATTTTTCGGCAAAATTATCTAGTTCTTCCTGCACCACCAAACAGATCATTTTAAAAACACCAAATAGAATATGTATGAAATAATTTTAATTTAAAATAAACATAGAAATAAATAAATTAGATAATTTTAAAAAAAAGTTAAATATCCTAAAACTTAGACGTAAAATTAGGATTCGTCTATGCTTTAAACTTTTTATATTTTTATTCATAAACTTAACAAAGTAAATGGACATAGTCCTTTTAACACTATCATATATTTTTTTTTTTGTGTTCAACTATGTTTTAGAATGATATTTGAATGGTAACACTCAAATATTATTTTAAATGTACTTTAACATGTCAAAATAATTCCTATAATTAAATTAAATAGAATATATTTATTGAATTTTAAAATTTAAGGACTAAAATATATAAAAGTTTGAAACATTGACAAATTTTAATTTTTTTTCAAGAACTAAAAATATATTTAACTATTTTTAAACATGCTAAAAAGTTAATTTAAAAAAGTAAGTTAAATAAATATAAAGAATATCTATTGTACAATGAGACATAATTTAAAGTTTAAAAATTACATTAAATAATTACACTAAATTTATAATTTGTCAAAATTATTACGATGATGAATTTAAGTATAATGTAAGAAGAAATATGTATGATGAAATATTTATCTTTAAATAAATTTATATTTGATTTAAACTTTTAAACTAAGTTATAAAGATTTGTGAAAAATTTAGAAGGGAAAGTGTAAAAGATTACGAGTTCAACTTTCTTCATTAACAAAATATTACTAACTAATATTTTTCAATAAAAAAATTAAAATAAAAATAAAAATAATAATAATATAAATAATAAAATTTGATAGGAACAAAAATTATAAATAACATAGTAAACTTAAATTGCAATAAGAACTTTAGTAACGATATTACCTTCAATAAAATGTCATCCACTGTTACATTGGCATAAATGAGATGCACCTTTGTTTTGTCTTTAGGGTTTTCTAGAATGGCTCTTATGAGCTGCAAAAAAAAAAAAACCTTATTTTTCTATTTATTACTTCCAAACAATAATGAATAAAACCTAAAGTATATATTCATATAAAAATTTACTTAATCATGAATATTTAATTTAGTAAAACTTAATTATCCTTGGCAAAAACACTATTATTTTGGTGATTTTTTTTGAAAAAATATTGAAATAGATAGATTTAAAAAAATTACAATAGATAAATCGTTTCATCTTGATATGGTTTTATCAAGAATGAGTTGTATCGGACATGACTTTTGTATAAAACAATTTTAAGTTGAAATTTAGTACAATGTATATTAAATCAAAGTCGTGTTACAAGCTAAAATATAGGAATTTTTTCCCCATCTTATTAAACATTAAATTTAAGAGATTAAAATTTTATTCTCTAAAATTTTAAAAAATAAGTACCCTTTTAAAAAAAAAATTGAGAAACTAAAGCATAATGATTTCATTTAGTTAGGTTACACCACAAAAATTCTTAAAATGAGCTAAAATTTACTTTCTCAAACTAAACTAAATATCAACGAGTGTTAGAGTTTGAAAATACTTTTGAGTTATAATAAGGTCAGATATTCGAATTCCATATCAATTAAAAATTAAATTAATTATTATAAAAAATCAGATTTACATATAAATAAAAGTAATGACAAATATTTTTTTAGTAAATCAAAATTATTAATAATAAGATTTGTAACTAAAATGTTCATCAATAAATTTTATTGATGATAGCAAAACCAACCAATAGTAAAAATCCACCAATAATTCTACATTATCAAGAAATATTCCTGTAAATAATAAGATTTATCAATGAATTTATTATTAATAAATATTTTTATTAGTAATTAAAATTTTAAAATATGGCAACAAAATATATCAATAAAGTCTGTTTTATCAATAATTTCTTTTATTAGTGAAAATTTACCAATAATTTAACAGTTTCTTATAATAAATTTATAATATATAAGTAATTTTTTTAAATAATAGAATCTATTAAAAAGGTTTACATGTGATGTGAGTACCTGAAACATAGGAGTTATGCCTGAGCCTCCTGCAATCATTCCGAATGCCCTAACTTGGCCAGGTTTGTAACTGAAACGTCCCTACAGTTATAAACCATACAATTAATATTCCATTATCCTTTTCAAATTATCACTTTCAAATAATACCAATAACTTACTATGTTGGTTGGACAAGTCAAATACCTATTTCAAAATTTTCTAATTTATAAATTACATTTTTAGCTAAGTTATTTTAAAATATTTCTTTATATATTTTACTTTCTTTTTAGTATAAATTTCCAATTTTATATAGATATTTTTTTACTATCTCTCATATTTATTCTATTAAAAGTTTAATAAATTATGATTACATAAAAATATATTTTTATCTAAAGAATACAAGCCTTATTTTACATAATAAACTTTTGTATTTACATTTTTTGTGTGTGTTATTTTATATTTGGGATTAGTTTATCGAGTAGTTTTACTAAATATTTTCTAGTTTATTAATTTTGAAATTATAAAGCACAAGCCCATCAACTAGCACTATTTGGTCATTAACTAAAAATCTTAAATAATATAAAATCTCATTCCACTTTAATTCTACTAATAGATCTCCATTTAATATCTTAAATAATATTTTGTAAGTCTTTTATAGTAAATAAAATTTAAAACATAACACTTTTTATAGCTTTGAAAATCTTTAGGTTCCTAAGAACACATTCTCTATAGGAAATATTTTATATTTCCCTCTATTACAAAATTTATGAACAATAGAAATTTTAAGATCTTTATTAAACAAGTACCACTATGCTCTAATATTTTTTAATTAAATTTTATTTTTCTAATTAAAGACAATTAATAATACCTTTGGACCCCTCACAGCCAAATAATCACCTTCCTTCATTTGTCTAAAATGGTGGGACATCTTTCCATTTGGGTACATCTGCTTGGTTATGACAACAAAAATAACAATAAATACAAAATTAAACATGTATTTATCTTTAAATAGCTTGGAAATTTTATTTTATTATTTTATTATTGGTTTTTTATGGTCTTCAAAAAATTACATTGTATTTCATGTTGTGGTAGCATTGGCTTTGTTAACTTGATTTGCGATTTGATCTCATGTAAAATAAAATATGACATAAATTTACTTGAAATATAAAAAAAAATATTTCTTTTCAAGAAATGATGTGATAAATAGACCAATAATTTGGAGAAAAAATGTATTTAAACCATAAATAAATATATATGGAAAAAGTGAATTCATATTTTTTAAAAAAATTTCTACAAAAGTTTTACCTTCACAACCAACTCGAAGTACCCAACATCTGAATCCAACGTGATTGGAGTATATGATCTCAGAACTTCTTCTCCTTGGCTATCTCTTCCTCTGCTTAATATAAAAAATTTATACATTTTTTTTGTTATTTTTCAAAATTATATATAGTATGTTTTATTTAAAATATATTAAATTAAATATAATATTAGAGCAATATAATTTAAATATATTTTCCAAACCTAACAAGTATGTTGTTTCCAACAGGAAGACCTAATATTGAAGAAGGAGTAGGAAGGGCAAATCTGAATCTTGCAGAGTTGTGGCTCAGCTGTGTCTTCTTTACGAGTTTAAATTCTTTGAAA